CCGTAGCCAGAGAGTGCACTCTGGTGCCCGAACAGGTCCACACATCCAGCGCTGATCCCAAGCCAGGTCTTTCTTCACAGAACTCTTTTATCAACCTGTCCGTCGCTACCGTCCCTCCTCTTCATCACTGCGTCTCTTCACACTGCTCGCCCTCTGCCTTCAGGCCTGTCTGTCTGTCTCACGTTCCTCTGCCTGTCTCTGTCTCCTCCTGCTGTCAGCACTGTGAATACTCTGGTGAGTCCGCAGAGGAAAGGTCGTTGAAGTAGTGTTCATTTTGTTTTCCATGAGTAAGACAAGACAAGGCGTTCCAGGTTGTGCGGATTGGCTCTCATATCGATTCAGAAAAGCAAAGCTGCAGTCTTCATTAGGCAACTTGTGTTTTTCTTCAGATGCTGATAATATTGTATGTAAATTAAGTTTAATTAATTAATAAAACAGGATAAGTTGACTAAATATAATAACAAGGACATTTGACAAAGGACTTAAATCAACGCTGGTAGGAAATGTTGAATTCCACTCTTTTGTTTGAATTAAAAACGTCACCTGCTATGTTATGTTATCATGAAACCCGTTAGTTAAGACTTTTTGCAGCAGGCGTGATAATCCCATTGAACACTATCACACTGAATCAACATCAAAACAGCTGACTGCATAAACATATTCATACTTCATCATAGGACAGACCTTTTTTCTTTTACTCCTCATGACCTCCTCTACTTGAAACATTTATTTTGATGACAATACAGTAATTGCCCATTATCTAACTTTCTGCTCTGATATTTAGAGCCTCAGTTATCTGAAGCACTACTGCTGATAGCTTTGCCTCATATTGTTCACCTCACCAGTTAAAAAAGTATCTTGAGACGGATCTTAAAATAACTCCTCCATCCTGTGCCTGCTGTTCTGTGGATGATAACTGCCTCACAAAGGCAACAGATTTCATAACACAGAAACCATAAATGCCATTTAGCGATATCCAGTCCACATTTCATACCTACAACTGTGTTTTGCCGAAGGATATAAACTGTGAAAATCCTTTTTCTCGGTTCCACCGCTCACAAAGCTCCCCTCTCTTCCTTTGTACAGCTGCCTCCTCGAGTGTTTCTTTTTATCTGTAGCTTTTTTTCTGAAACCAACTTTTCCTTGCTTCTTCTACCTTGTTCTCAACACTTACTGTGTGCCTACTTCGCTCGATAACTGTGTGTTTGTGTGCGTACGCTGTACAGCATGTCTCTGTGAACTCTCAGATTTACCTCCTGCTGCTCTCTCCTCAGATCACTCCATCACCTTGGAAACCTGTAGGCAGGCTGTTACAGAGCTTCACAACAGTCTGAAGAAAACCGCCATGCTCTACACTACGGTCAGTCAGTGTGTGTGTGTATGAGAGCGTGTGAAAATTAGAACGAGAGCCTGATATCATTTATATATTTGTAAGAGATAGAGGATAAAAGGGGAATTCATGGAGATAATTTCTTGCATACTTCATGCCTGTTAAAGCTGCCACTTTCAAATTCCTCTTATAGTCATGAATTGCATATTTGAATAGATATTACTGTTGATATGTGTGTTATTTCAAAGAATCCGTTATCTCGTTTTGATGCACCATTTTGTCTCCGTCAATTTGTCTTTATAGATGCTGTTCTTTTTACATTTAATCTGGTGGTTGAATCCATTCATTATTTATTATAGAGGGGAAAAGTCCATTTAAAAAAAAAAAGTCCATTAATGCATCGGATATCAACAGATACTGCAAAACCTATTTTCTTTTAATGCACAAAATTAAATGTTCTGTCTTTTAACGTGTGAGAATGTAGAATGCTAATTAGTCTAATATGATAGGAATCTAAATATTCAAAGATTTGGGTCGAAACAAGCAACTTCGGTTTCGTAATGCACATACAGTATTTAAGGCTTCAGCTTTAAAAAAAAATCACTATATATAATAATAATTATAATTTCCTGTATTTATGGTTTAATAAAAAATTACCCATGTATGAGAAGTCGAAGATGGCGTTTTCAAGTGTCTTTTTTCAGTCCTAAAAGTCCTACCACAAACAAATGAGTCCAACTCGTAGTTATATTTAAATCATGACACTTTTGAGAAGCAGGAACCAGAACATGTCATATTAATTAAAGGAACATTTATTTAAAAAATCAAACAATGTACATGTATAGTCATCCCTCTCAATCATCACTTATGACTCACTAAAAGTGCTTGGTAGTGTGTGTAGCTGCAGAGACCCTGCAGCCTTCTGCCTGTTTATTTTTTTCCTGTGTTCAGGACATTCCTGGCCATCAAACTATAATGAGTGACCAGGTGCCAGATCATAAGCATTCATCCACGATGAAGCTATACAAATGTTGTACGCAGCACCAGAAAAATACAAATATAGCTAGGAAAACCTGTTCCTAGGAGAAAATGCGTTCCAACCGATGGAGAGCATCTTAACCAGCTTTCAGTCCGTGTGTGCTTTTTGAGTTGTGCTTGTTATGTCTTACAAACTGTGACCCACATAGTAATCAACTGATAATCAAATTGTCTGTTTTTCATCACCAGATGCTACAATGCGACCAGCAGCCCGGTGAAGATCAGACAGAGATGAGGGGCATCCTGTCTAAGGCCCTGTTCAAGGTCAAGGCTGAGCTGGACTCTTTATCTCCCCCCTCCTCTCAGAGTGAAGGGCCCCCTGTGGACCAGGGGGTCAAAGGCGAAGGAGACAGAACCCTGGCCCTGCTGGAGCAGTACGCTGAGCTGCTGCTGAAGTCTGTGGAGAGGAGACTGGACACTAAGACGTGAGGACTGGAAATGATGCCAGGTGTATGTACTCAGGTGTATGTACTGTACGCTCATATAGCATACTGTGAACCGCACACTTGTTTTTTGCACAGAGATCTTTTTAAAACTTTATTTATTGGCTGAATGCAGATAGGATGTGATTATATATTTGGAGAAACTGAGTTAATGAATGCTGAATGAGTATTATACACTGAGTAATAAAAAGTTGCCTTATTCATATAAATTCCAAGTTTCAATTACTCTTCTTTTTCATCAAAGTGTAATGAATCATATTTGTTACAAAGGGAGACACAAAAGGACAAATATGATGGAGTAACATGGAAAGCACAGGTAGTTTATGGATGTTAAATGCATTTGGGCCACATAATTCATCGGGGCTTTTTAAATTATTCTTTTTTAAATCGTTATGTATTGGTACAGAATTAAAAAGTCCCATTAGCACCCCCTAGAGGCTGCACGGTTCAATATTTCATGCCAAAACAAACAAACATTAAACAAACAATAACCAACAATTAACTAATTAGGCTCTAATAATGAAATATAACATTTGTTTTAGGGTGGCTTACAGTGAGTAACAATCAAATCAAAAATATTAAAGTGCACCTATCATGCTATTTTTAGGCAATAGCATAGGTCTCAAATATATAAAAAACATGTCTATGAAGTGTTTTGCTCAAAATACCAAACAGATCACCCATTCTAGCCATGCCTCATATCCCTCTATTTCACTTCCTGTTTCAAAAGTGCTGATTTTGGGTATAAAGCTTTAAAAAGAAAAAATAATTGATAAATAAAAAAGGAGGGGGCTGAGCTCATATGGGACCCGGCAGCTACTGTCTAAACTAAATACTGCGGTGATGAAACGCCATATCATGGATTATCAAGGATTATTTCTGAAACAGTATGGAGCTCAAAGGCTTTCTCTCTTGCCGGTTATACCACAAGGTGAGTTCCTTTTTATTTCCTGCTTCTTCACACACATGCTCTATCCAGTACAGGTTAGCTCTGAGTGTTAGCGATGCTAATGTAAACACCGACCATATTACGTCCAAAACAGTCGGGCATTGTTTCTGATAGCAACGTTTCTGATAGTGCCGTGGGTCCACATTTCCGATATTATGTCATATCGGATGCAAATCTGGATCAGCTCCATTGTAGCCCCGTTTTTAGAGATTTGGGTACGGAGGAAAAGAGAGGGTTTTATTTTCTGACGCTGCGCGAGTTCCCTGACACACCGGGGACACATATTTATGTATAAAAGACATCAAAAAGTGCATTTTGCATGATAGGTCCACTTTAAAGTTCCAGGTGGTTCTCAGAAATGTTCATGGAATAATTGGATTAGGAGATACGGTTTCATGCCTGCAACATTCGGCTAACTGAGTACACAAGTTCATAAAGTTTCCAAAATATAAAGGGTTCATCCTCTGGGGAACAGGAACATGGTCCTTTCTTTACTCTTTTACTAAAAGCTTTGCACAATTTGATACCTGGCTGGAGACATTTTGGGAGATAGTTGTGATGGATGATGTTTAAGTAGGAGGTTATAGGAAGATAAGGTGTGAGGAGTGAGATGGTTATATATTAAGGAATAAGGTAAGTGTTAGATAAAACACCTGGGAAGATATTTTGTAAGGTTGTGTAAATCGTTTGCTATTGGTGTCTCCCTAAGATCAGGGTACTTTAGCCATAACTCATTCCTTTATATATACCATGAGTAGTCTATGATAAGTCTGAGAGTTTTGCAAGTTTTATTATGGCTGATTTTAATGTTGGACTAATAAATACATTTCTCTGAAAGAGGTTTTCTCATCAAACCTTTGGACTGTTCTTTATCCTCTCGTCAAAAATGAACAATGAAAACACTGAACTAGACTTCGTAATAATCATTTTATATCTAAATATTAACACAGATCATTTATATTATATTAAAACATATTACTCAGTTAGTAGAAATATCATTTTATAAAAGTATTGTAAACAATAAAACAGTTTCATTTACAAAGAGAAAAAGTAAGCTTTGTGTATCAAATGGTTATCTTTTAAGAAAGTAGCATACTATAGAAAAAATTCATGTCATTATTAATAAAACACAATATAATCAAACACTTATTTCAAGCTTAATGATAAATAATTTAGCTCCAAGATGTAGATAAAGATGAAGCCTACACACCACACATGTTGAGTAATAGTGTGCTGCCTCCTATGGAAGCGTCTCCACGTTGACATAGGTGAGGACCACATCGTGCAGGATGTTGATCCTGTTGATCTGGTTGAGTTCGAGGACTCTGTGTCGAAACTCAAACAGAGGGATGTTGTTCACCGCCACCCTGAACACCTCGGGGGTGCACAGGATCTTCATCTGGAACAGAGCACAACAAGAGATATCTACTCCATAAAGTGGATTACGTGTGGTGCACATTTAGAAAAAAGTGTATTTAAATCATGGAAAACCTTAACTTGAACCCCCTGAAAAAAATATGTTAGGATGAATTAATATGCAAAATGTAAATGTTCTAATTGAAAAATGAAAACTGACTATAGTTGTTATTGCTGTGAGTACACATTGCCCGTATTGCAGAACTGTTATTGATGTTATAGAGCAACATGAGACCCACACTGACCTCCAGGAGTCTTCCGGTCCCTTATCTAGGAACCGCTTGCACACATGTCTTTCCAACCTTTTCCAAACGTTAGCCTGATGTTAACCATGAGAAAGTGACCTAGAGTCAGTTACCATGTGTAGCATTTTGGAACATCAACATGTCATTGTAAAAGTCTTACCACAAACAAATGGTTAAAAGGATTAGTAATCTTTTATGATAAATAGCAGCACACTGACAGTTCAGTTTCCTCAAACCAATGTGGGGATGATCTATTCACGTTAACATGCTACACATAGTAGCTTTAAAGGGACAGTTCACCCCAAAATCTAGTGTTTTTTTATCAATGAAGATTGTTTTGATGTGAGTATTGCAGGTATTGATTGTAAAGATGTCTGCTTTTCCTCGGATATTTGAACCAGTAGGATCTCCGCTTGTGATATAGCACCACAGGTAAGAGACAAATATAAAAAAAATTGGTGAAACTGTCTCTTTAAGCACAACTTTTCAAATCTAATTCCTGGACTCATTCCTCTTTGTAACACTCACCTCGAATGGGCTCCCCAAAGCGAAGGGAAAGGGCCCCTTCAGCTCCCTCTCCTCGGGGCCCCAGCGCTCACCCAGTTTGTGGTTACGGACCAACACCTGTTTGCCCCCCTCACTGAAGCGGGGGTTGATGTGGAAGGCAATGTCGTTGCCCTTCAGAAAGTTCACTGTGAACCTGTAGTAGAGCAGAGTCATTGATAGTGTGTCATTTGTATGTCATTCACTAACTGGTCAGATCTGTAGATTTTGTAAGGATTGTTTTTTTTCGGTCAATTGAGGCTATTTCGATTCCATAAAGCCTCTAAAGCCTCTTACACACCAAACTGACACCAAAGAACACGTCTCCTGCATCTTGGCAGGGCCGTCCCTGGCCAACTTGAGGCCCCACGCAAAGTTAGATGATGAGGCCCTCTGTTTCACGGTGCCGCGCCACACTAATTACGATACGATACGATATACTTTATTGTCCCCGTAAGGAAATTCGTTCTGGGCTCCGTCCAGCAGTTCCGCATACATGTACATAATATACAAACATAGTGGACATTTAAGAGACATACACATATCATCAATCATACACCGTTTGAACAAACACAATACACGCAGACGCACATACTGACAATGGCGACCTATTGCACAACCATCATGGCCAACATTTAAAAAAAGTACATTTCATTACATTTGACTTCGACTACATTTCATTTCCTGTCAATGTTAAGAAGTTTAACGGACATTGGTAGGAATGAGTGCTTATAGCGGTTCAGCCTGCTCTTGGGAACCCTGAATCTTCTACCAGAAGGTAGGAGCTGGAATTCTGGGTGGAGTATGTGGGTGGGATCAGACACTATTTTGTTTGCCTGTCTGATAATGGACTGCTCATATATGTTTTGGAGAGATGGGTGTTTTTTAACCCTCATAATTTTCATAGCCGTCTGTACCAGGCGAGCGATCTGTGACTTTGACTGCACTGTCAAGTTACCGTACCAGGCAGTGATACCATACCTAATGATGCTCTCCAACACTGCATGATAAAACAGTAACATGAACTTCTGGTCGACTCCGAAAGCCCGGAGTCGACGCAGAAAGTACAATCGCTGTTGAAGTCTAGAGCACAGACCTTGAACATGCGCCTTCCAGCTGAGTGTATTATCTAGATGGACACCAAGGTACTTATAGGAGCTGACCTGAGTTATGGGTTCATTGTGGATAACCACCGGGCTAAGGTCACCCACTGCCTTTGGGTCCCACACCATCTCCTCAGTCTTCTTCACATTCAGCACTAGATGGCTAGAATCACACCACTGCACAAATCTCTCTATTTCAGAGTGATAAGCCGATGAACTGCTGCCCTTGTGCATTAAGCCAAGGATAGCTGTATCATCAGAGAATTTGATGATATAATTCTCCGGGTGGGCTCTTGTACAGTCGTTTGTGTACAGTGTGAAGAGGACCGGGGAGCTCACACAACCCTGGGGGGCTCCTGTACTGATGGTCCGGGGCTCTGAGAGGGCATTGTTGACCCTGACTTGCTGAGTGCGATTGGTTAAAAACGAAAAATACCATTTCAAGATGAAAGGATTTATATTGATCTTCATCAGTTTTTGAAGCAAGATGTGAGGCTGCAGTGTGTTAAAAGCCGAGCTGAAATCCACAAACAGTAGGCGTACATATGCCTTAGGGTCTTCCAGGTGTTTAGTGACCAGGTGTGTGATGCTATTTAGAGCATCGTCTGTGCCACGCCCTTGCTTGTAGGCAAACTGAAAAGGGTCTAAATGTACATCAACCTCCATTTTTAGCAGCGGCACCATGATCCTCTCAAAACATTTCATGACAATGGATGTCAATGCAACAGGCCTAAAATCATTGTTTACCTTTGGACAAGGTTTTTTGGGGACAGGTTTTATTATTGATTTTTTCCAGAGGGTGGGGATGGTGTGAAGATCAACAGATTTTTGAAATATGGGACACCATGCTGGTGTCAGTTCTTCTGCAAATGTCTTGAGGAGGAATGCAGAGATGCCATCTGGCCCTGTGGCCTTCTTAGTACAGGTGTGTTTGAAAAGTGATTGGACCTTTAAAGGGTCAATCACCACCCTTTCATCCTGGTCACTAGCAGGGATTGTCTCTACGATGTCTGTACATTCGGAGGAGAAGTCCTGGGTTTCAAATCTCATGTAAAAGTCATTCAGTTCATTTGCTTTTTGCAGGTCATCAGAGGTACAGAGAGTTTTTTTAGCTGGGGTCATATTTGTGATTGCCTTCATAGTGTCCCAAAGTTCCTTGGAGTTCATTGTAGAAAAGTTTTGTTCTATAATGTCCTTATGTCTCCTTCTAGCTTCTCTGAGCATGTGGTTGAGCTCCTTTTGCACACATTTCAGTTGCGTTTTATCCCGGTTTTTAAAAGTTATATTTTTACGATTTATGCAGTCCTTAACCTCTTTAGTTATGTATGGTTTGTTGTTGGGGTACACAGTTATTTCTTTCTGAGGTATCACATTGTCATCACAGAATTGTATATAGTCAGTTACCGTCTCAGTAGCATTATCCACGTCCATCTCATGAAAGATACTCCACTCAGTAGAGAGAAAACATCCTTTAAGAGACTCTATGCTGTCACTAGTCCAAACCTTTACAGTCTTGGTCTGTGGTTTACTTCGCTTGAGAACCGTTTTGTAGGTAGGTATTAGATGAACAGTGTTATGTAATTGCGCCACATAGACGCATAGGTGCGCCGCATTTGCGGCTCAGTTGCGGCTCCCTCCGCAAGATGAGGCCCCCTCCGCGAGGTGAGGCCCCACGCAGTCTACGTGATCTTCCTGTAGGGAGGGACGGCCCTGCGTCTTGGCCATGTGTCGCACTGGAACACACCGCAAAGACTTCAGCCGACGGCCAACAACCGGAAGACAGACTGCGTGATACACCGAGAGAAGAAGAACAGACTGCGTGATGTAAACAAATAAGAAATAGCGTGTGCGCAGTGGCGGTTCTAGAACATTTTACATGGGGTGGCAAAGGGGGGGCAAGAGGTCATGCCAGGGTGGCATGGGAGGGCGGACAGTACGTGATATTTTACACTGTATATAACCTATTTATTGTTAATTCATGCCCTAACACAAGTGTTCTTAATGCACAAGAGAAACAAGGTGTTCAGACAAACAATCGGGTGCCCTTTGAGTCCCCCAAGCTTACCTCAACCATTTTAAATGAAAGGAAACTACAAAATGTATTTTAAAGCAATTAATTAATGGAACAGGTTGTTTTGCATTACAAAAAATGTGTTGTCTTAGTATTAGACAGACATATTTGCATGTGCTCACTAAGCATTATTACATATTAATTTAATATTAAACAAATCACCAATTATTCCAAAATGTTGCTGCTAATATAATCATATGCTTGTCAACTTTAACTGATCAAAAATAAATTCTGAAAAAAGACTTGAATTATCTATGAAATTGCAATATTGTCCCTCAGTTTGTTTCAACTCCGTCACGCCATACCATTTACCCTCCTATTAAAATAATGGATCAGTCCATGTGTGATCTGCATTGAGGGAATTACATCACAAAAGTGTCAGTTTCTTCTCTTACCTATATTTCAGTTTTTGTATTTTCATATTAAGATTGACAAGCTCAAAATGTCAACTCTGTTATATGAATTAATAATAGTAAATAATTGTTTATTACAAAATAAACAATAGTTTTGCAAAATATTACAATTGTGTAATGTCCTTGACTTCCATGTGGTGCCATATCTTAGCTAAACAAGGTCTCATGCCTACTTTTTGTCAAAAACTTCAACCCTGTTAAATGTTTTCAAGTAAATTCCTAGTAATTATTTATGTTTTGTGCCTGGGGTGGGAAAATGTAAGTAGTCCACTACCAGATGTTATGACCAAACATTTTGGTTTCATTTTTCAAAGATATAAAGACCCAAAAGGCACCCGATTCAGAGAATACTCTAATTCTGCATACTGTAAGTACTTGGTTATAATTAAGTACACAAATGACATGACCCATCTCTTCAGAGAGCTAAAGGTGACCTGTGCAGCAACACATTTCAATCAATAATTGTCAATACTAAGAGCTGCTAGATTGTGCTGCTGTAATGGAACATGTAAGGAGAATAAGAACATACCATGTGGTCCAGCTGGAGTTTCATCTGCCTCCTGATCCCTGCCTCTGGCCCTCTTTCTGATACTTCATCTTTATTCCTCACATATATTTCTTCTTCTTCACTAATGTCTTCATCTCCTCCTCTTCCTCCTGCTCTGACCCTCCTGGTCTCTTCATCTCCTCCTCTTCCTCCTGCTCTGACCCTCCTGGTCTCTTCAGTGAACTCTCTTTTCCTTTTCCTCTTTCTGTTCGTCCTGATCTCTTCTCAGATATGTCTTTTTGTTGTTGTTGAATCACTCCTATACTCTGGCCTGCAAGAGTCTACTTGTGAAAAGCACTGGTACAAATGCTTGTATAACTTTACACGTTAGGGCCATGTAGCCTAGCTAATAAGTAGCATATCATCAGAAAGTATTTATCAAACGCACAACGGCAGCTGTGTTTAGATCCAGTTTTTACGGTAAAGGATGTATCCTGGTTTAATTGATCATCCTCATTGCTGTGATGTGTAGTTTACGTGGATTTAATAGTAGGCTACCGCATAGTTTAGCAAAGTGATCGATCTCCCAGCTAAGGCTGTCTGCGTAGTATTTTGTAACGTAGCGCCCATCTGTCTATCGATTCAAACGGAAGCGTTTTATTAATATTTAGTTTCAAGCTCTCGTCCTTAGTAAAAACTAAACTAGTGGAAGGGGAAATGCTCCCAGGGGAAGCTGATCCATAGGTACTGGGACAGCTCGCTCCCTCTCTGCAGCTCTGTGAGCCGTGGTCTGTGTGAACGCCGCTCCGCAGTTTAATGCAGGGCCGTAGCTGCGTTTTTAACGGGCCTAAAATGATATTTAAAATGATTCACTTTTAACTAATGTAATGCTTGTTTCGTTGCTTGAGAAGCTTGTGGAAATAGTGTAGGTTTGTTTTAGTACAGTTTTAGGGAAACAAAAGTTAGGGGGTCAGCTGGGGGGGCAAGGCTCTACAGTGGGGGGGCAAGGGGGGGCAGCGAGAAGCTCATGGGGCTTTCCCGAACCTGTGTCGAGAGCTGGAGTTAAATTAAATCTCAGATTTGCCTTCTTAATAATTTGTTTGGGTCCCTCACTTCCGTTTCGCTTCTCATGCACTGATTCGCTAAGCTGAACAGCCAATCATGTCGAATCGGCGGCGGAAGGTGTCGGCACGGCCGAAAAGACACGACGGTGCAGTCCCACCAATCTGAGTAGGGGGACACGACGCTCATCGACGGCCTGACATCTATCGACGCCAAAAATCGGCTTGGTGTGTAAGGAGCTTAATGTTCTTCAATCAGACTAATATACAGAATACACCCACAATCTGCAATTAGGTGTTTGGTATCTTTTTTTTATAACTTAAAATAGTCATGGTGAAGTTTGTGAGTTGAAAATACCTATTCACTTAAAGTGTCTCTCGAGAGAATCTGGAAATATATTTGTCCACGAAGAACAATGGTTTAAAAGTCAGTAAAGCACTTTTGAGTAAGCTTACATTTTAGCATCAGGTTTTACATGGCCCAAGATGGTCATCATCATCTTGTCATAGACTCCTCTGGCCAGGTTCAAGTTGAATGGCACGCTCTGGAACAGCAAGGAGGGAGAATAACATCAAAACAACCGGAATTATGAAGCAGCCAGGGATCACTGTATCTACAGTATTAATTACTAAGTATTTCCTGTACATTATCAGGGGAAATTGAAAGTCAGATTGTTAGCATTTGGCTCACCAGAGGTCCAGAAGTGGGTGGAAGCCATTGTGGAGGCATGTTGGATGGAGTCTGTCCAGGCCATCCTGACTGTCCCGGGTTATAGGGCCAGCCAGGGTGGGCAGGCCATCTCGGAATAATTGGGCGGAGGCTGGGAGCAGGTGCTGGTGCTAGGACTGGGACCGGGACCGAAGCTGGAACAGGAACTGGAACAGGAACTGGAACTTGAGCAGGTACTTGAGCTTGAATTGGAGCTGGTGGCTGAGGAGGCTGATACTGGGTTGGCTGATACTGGGTTGGCTGGTATTGGGGTGGCTGGTTCTGGGGAGGCTGGTACTGGACAGGCTGGTACTGGGGAGGCTGGTATTGGGGAGGCTGGTTCTGGGGAAGCTGGTATTGGGGTGTCTGGTACTGGCAAGGGTTGCAGGGCTGCCCTTGCCCTGGAGCTGGGATGATGGATGTTGTAGCTGCAGGGGCTGGTGTCATGACTTGACCAGGAAACACATTTTGTGCAGGGACAGAGACCGGAGCTTGTTGTGTCCCATTCCAGCAGGGAGTGTTGGGCTGGCCAGTCCAGCAGGGCGCAGGCTGGGGGGGCTGTCCTGTATACCCAGGGAACCCGGCTCCAGACTGGGGAAGACTCGGCCAGAGACTGTTAGCCTGCGGGGAAGAACCAGAGGAGGGGCAGCTGCTACACAGAGCGTCAAAATGCTGAGAGGGGGGAGGAGAGGGGGGAGGAGAGGGGGCAGAGGGGTCAGGGGCCAGGATGGAGATGCGAGGAAGAGACAGGGTGGAAAGGATGGAGGACAACACCTTGCAGTTGCAAACATGGCCGTTTGACACAAGCAAAGGTTGAATCATTTAAAAATGGAAAAAAAGTTCAATAACTTCTGTAAATCTTACCAGTGTAGAATTTGATGAGGTACTTACATCCATGCTGCCTGCCAAAACAAGATCAAACAAATGCACTTTTATTTTATTTGTTAAGTTTCAGAGGATTTACCAAACACAGAAAATTAAGAGAAAACACAATAGATCTGTAATCACAAATGGAAATAAAATGCTATGTAAACTCACAGCCAACCAAACTAGAATAAAAAGTAAATGATTTATTTTTTACTTTTCAAGTTTAAGATCATGCGCTGCAGTCACAGTGAAAACTATTTAGCTGTAGAGAGAGGACATTATTCTCTAGGTGACCACCAGAGGACTCTAGAGCTTTTCAAGATGTCAAAGCATCAACAAATATTGGACTATGAGAGACAATAGGTATACATTGTTAACTGAAACTCAATGGATGCCATGGGATGTGCTTATTGAATGATGACCATAGGAAACATGCAGACACATAACGGCGTATTGATTCAGGGTTATGTCATCACTTAGAGAGAGGAATGTGCAGTAACAATGATCTGATGGTGTCCAGGCCCTACCACTGATATATAGATGTTCATGTGACTGCAAATTCAATGACTGTTATAAACTAAATACCTGGCCTTTCTACTGCTCAATAATAGTTTTTACCTAAGAAATAAAACTAAATGCAGAAAACATGTTAAATATTAGGCATTTTGACTTCTGATCAAATATTTACTAACAATTTAAAGCAAATCATGTTTTAGTTATACATATATTATCAGAATCAGTATAAAATGTGCAAAAATAATAATGAAAAAAAATAAAGATAATTATTTAAAAGGTAAGAATTTAAAGTTAAATAGATCAAATTAAAAAAAGCATTTATATAAACATGTTAAAGTGAAAATCTTCAAATTGTACAACATTAAATAACGTATATTATTGTTAGAAAAATATCACTCGACACCAGGTTGAGAATCAATGATCAGGTAACTAATTTCTCCAAGAATTATATATGCATATAAATGATATTCTCATGTATAATAATCATATATATATGTAAAACGAAATTATATTCTCATATTTAGCCTGGCACTAGACCAGAACCCAGACTGGCAATGCATTAATTTCCTGAAAAATAAAATCTAGTATCGAACGCAAACTAAATGTTTCTGATCCATAGAAATATGAAGCATTTGATATAAGCTGACACGGATAACATTAAGATGAAGTTACCTTTTCTTTATCTTCAGGTGCAGCAGGAGCAGGCCGTGGTGAGGTCGAGGTGAATCAGTTGGTTTGTACCCCAGCACGTCGAAAAAACATTTTTATAGTCAAACGCCCTGTCACTAGGCCACTCCTCACGTCATCTCCACTGGGAGAAAAATAATACCACACCCTCATACATTACATACATGAAGAAAATTGTAGGCTTTTTTTCCTCTCTATTGTCTTTTTCTTGAATTGCGTTGCATTTCCAGACCTCAGTTGTAATTTAGAGTTAGAATGGTTAAATAAAATAAAAATGACAGAGAGAAAATGCTTAATTGGAAACAATATCAGAACATTTAAATGTATGTGAAACGTTTTATCTCCACCACAACGTGTTTTACTTATGCATCAGCTGCTTGGTTCCTCCTGATATTTAGTCACTGCACGTGAGTAATGAATGGCGTTTATATTTCTGATTGATTACTCCTCTGGACGATTGTTGAATACATTTATAATGGCAGAGCTGAGGGTCTCACCTCATGTAATGTTAAAACATTAATTCTTCTGGCATTTTTGATAACTTTAAACGAGAGATGTCAGGTTCCAACTCAACTGTCTAAATCATCCAATAAATCTCCGAGGCAACAGCTTCAACAATGAAAACATATGACGCTCACATTTTGTGGATACACACAGTCACACTGGTTCGCCTCACACCTTTATTAGATTAGCAATTAACTGAGCTGAAAAATGTCAGAAATCGCAAAACTTCCCAAAATGCTCAGACTTAATCCTCTGAGAATTCAGCGCTTGACATTTAACCAACTGGGTCTTACATTTTAATCTCTATCTGGAGACAGATAATTAATAGAATATTTTATGTAGTGAACTGTGTATAATTCACTGTCATTACGATTCGGGAAAAGGTAGGACCCAAATGCAGTTTAAAAAGGGAAGCGGGTTTCAAAATGTAACAAAAAGAGAGCTTTATTTACAAAAAAGCTGTTTGACAATGAAAAATACTTAAAGAAAACCATGAATCCAAAAAGTAGGTAACACGAGGTAGCATCCAGACAAAACTAACCGTGACAAACATGAAGGGTGACAGGAAAGACAATGAACCCGACAAGGAGCACAGGGGAAGACAAGACTAAATACAAAGAAGGGTAATCACAGGACAAGACACAGCTGGGCGGGGGAGGCAGAAACACAAGGGCAACAGGTGAACACAATCAGACAATCAGACACAGGAGGAAAAACACAGGAAGGAAGACAAGACAGAGGGAGAACAGAATTTCAACATAAAATCATGACAAGACATTGTGAAAGAAAATTAGGATTGTGACAACTGTAGCTCTTGCTGCCAAGCTTAACCCTTTTGTTTTATGTAAGCCACCTAGGGCAAATGGTAAGCATTTCAGTAATTCCAATTTATTTATACCCAAGAAACATTTGAGGGGCAGACCCTCATGGATATCCAAACAACTACAACAATTAAGAAAAGTAAGAAAAAAGTAATCAACAAGAAAAATATTCACCAACAGAAAATAGGCTGTACTATTAATACAAAAATAAAAGCCATTACAATTGCTATCGTGGAAAAATGTTTGATGGATACATAAACTTAATTACAATGTCAAATAAAATCCAGTGGGGTAAAAAGCACTAGCATTTGCAATAAGGATATAATTCAATACATAAACTGAAATGCTTAAAAACCCTTGGATGCACGAGTGACTAGACCCTACACTCTTCCATAAGTGGGTCTAAAATGACCCGTATTAGAATAATATGTTTTTATGCGATTTTTGTCATTTTGGTTAAGAAAAATCACTTGTATAATATTTAGTATTATATTTTGGTTCACATTAGAAATATATTATATTTAATTTTTCACAATTTATAATTTTAGACTTTTTTTTACATTTTGAAAAAAAACGTTTTGAACATATTGTCCCAAAGATATCCGCTATTCTGAGACCCTCACAGTATTCCAGTCCCTTTTCAAAACTCTCTGTGTGGTCTACAGTGAATGTATTCCTGACAGCAACAGATGATAAGAATCAAAGGTTCCCATAGGATTCCATAGAAAATGCAATGCATTTTTTACCCACTTATGGAAGCTTTGGGTAGTAATACAAAAACTACAATTTCTTAAAATGTAAATTTAAAATGTGAATGGCATGATATCCAAAACATGTTTTTTGAGGAATAGCTGGAATATGAAATGATAAAAAAATGTAATTACAAAGAAACTTCAAGAAAACCACCTCACCGGGTCCAAAAAGACCCACTTATGCATCTAAGGGTTACAATGTAAAATAATGTAATTACAAGTAGAGGTACAAGTAGAAGTTGTGGGGTTAAAGATCCAATTGGTCAACTTTGAGGAACTGCTATGCTGTATCAGGATGCCACCAACAAGTACAACTTATTTCAGTAACACAGGCAGCCAGTAGAAGATGTATAGTTAAACAACTTTTACATACTCTTACTCACAGTTGACTTCCATTCAATTGAGTCCACCCATCAATTTGTTGCATTAAGTCGAGCTTGGGCCCATTTCATTCCTCCCAAAGTGCTTTCTTTGTCCACTGCATTTCTCATGGCCAGTAGTTAGACAGCTTTCTATTAGCAGGTATGGACCGTTAGAGTTTATTGATTCCAACAGTACAAGTACACATATAGTATAGTTGTTTGTCACACACACACACACACACACACACACACACACACACACACACACACACACACACACACACACACACACACACACACACACACACACACACACACACACACACACACACACACACACACACACACACACACACACACACACACACACACACACACACATACCATGTATACATCACTTCAGGGGACATTACATTGACTTACATGCATTTCCTGGAGACTTATCCTAACCTTAACCATAACCAACACATGCCTAACCCTAACCCTTACCCTTAACCTTACCCTTACCCTAACCCTAAACATAACCAAGTCTTCACCCTAAAATTAATGATTCCCCTCATGGGGACCTCCAATTTGTCCCTATAAGGGAAGCCAGTCCCCACACGTGACTATGCAAACAGATTTAGGTCCCCACAAGTATAGTAATGCTAGACCACACACACACACACACACACTCATTCTTCATGAGTATATGAGAGCACCCTGCAGTCTGTCCTCAGGAGGCCAGCTGTGTCTCACACATTAGGCAAGTGAAGGGTGCGGCCACATTGGACAATTTAGGACATCGTAGCTTCTGGCTGTGTGTGTGTGTGTGTGTGTGTGTGTGTGTGTGTGTGTGTGTGTGTGTGTGTGTGTGTGTGTGTGTGTGTGTGTGTGTGTGTGTGTGTGTGTGTGTGGCTGTGGCTGCACTCAAAATCTGTTAAACTGAGCATCTGCGCTGATTAGATCCTAATGTCTCATTATCTCTATAAGCCGTTAAGAAGCAAATTGTGCCTTTTTCATTATAAAAAAAAAAGAAGGAATTTCAAGTGTTCCAGAATAATGATAAACAGACAATTGGCTTCTGCACAACAGGGAACGATGTAACAGCAAATAGAGATGTATAGAAAATGTATAGAAAAACAGATTGGAGCTGGGGAATGAAATTCATTGCTACGCATCTTTACCGATTGACAGGTTTATGTGGAGGAAACGTTTCAATCGAAATTGTGCTTCATTGTCTATTCAACACCAGATGGGACAATACATGACAAGATTAACATCATGTATCGAAGAAGACAATAAACTAGCGACTGAGAAAATGTTTTAACTGA